AAGTAACTAGTAATGTAACTAAGTTACTATTTTAAAGTAACTTACCCAACACTGGCTATTACACATTTGATCTGAATTTCACTCTGCATTTAGCTTATTGGTCAGCGCTTGTGAAGAGTACAGTCGTTCAGGTACTGATGCAAAAATGCATAAAACCTCAAATAAACTGAATTGAACTGCAAATGAAAAAGATAAATAAATAAATCAGACATTTGTTCTCGGACGTGTAAACACTTAACAAAGTGAGTGTTTCCATAGTGTACTGGTTTGTACACCAAAACCCTGGTTTGAGCCCAGATGGAGACAAATCCATCCGGTATTTGTCTCCATCCAGGAGGACTGACAGGAGGGGTCACATGGCATAAAAATCGTAGTGGTGTAGTAAACAACAACAACAACAACAACAACAACAACAACAAAACATTTGTGTATAGAATATTTTTATCATTACATTTACATTAAAGCCAATGATTCATTCCATGTGTGGCAACTACGACACTAGTTTGTGAAGTCCCTGTTTTGAGGCCTCAGTGTTCGATTGTTGGTGCTGCTGTGTTGACTTTTTAGACATGGAACAAAGAGCCTGGTGATTAACCGAGGCTCCAAACGTGGCGAAGAAGATGCATCCACAGACTGTTTTTTTCCCTTGTATGAGGCTATAAAAATGTGTTTCTGCCATATTTCTGTGTTGTAACCAGCAACCTGCTTCAGGAGCCTCCTGTGGTCAGTCGAGGAACAGTTCACCGTGAACTTTTTGCCTTTTTCTGGCTTCACCTTGTTTCTTGTTTTTTTGACGCAAGTTAAACCGCTTCGTACGTTACAGGCTGACAGGTTAGTCAACCACAACACACTGTTCAATGTCCTGCTATGTCAACTTAAAGTCACTGTGAACGCTGCTTGGCGTTAGCTTCCTTCCAGAGTCTGTTGGCTCGAACGTGAGATGCAGAGACAATGAAGGAGACCTTCAGCCAGTGTTTCAGAAAACGCAGCTTTCTCCACAATTTTGAACCCTAATTTGAACTTTTTCATGAATTGAAATTCAACTTGAATTGACTTGGAAATTTGATAATGAATTTTTCTTTGGTTTCCTGAACTCAGAACTAAAACCTCTTGACCCTGTACGCAGATTTTTAATGTTAATGACATTAAAACTCATTAAAACATAACTAAAACACAACTTCTCCTAAACGTCTGATGCAGTATCCTGTTACAAACCGCACTCACTTGGCCTTTATGACCAATAATCATCGCTTGTTTTTTTAACCATGTCTATTTCACAGC